CTGTTATTCCTGTTAATCAGCCACGATGGAACATGGAGAAGGGACTCAAAAGCTTCACTCAAAGCTCCCAGTTAAATCTCACTTTTATCCAAAAACATATTAAATATTCTGGGCTTTGATTTTTTCTACTTTTCAGATGTTAGTTTTAAATAACAAACAGGAATCATTCTAGTACATAAGTTTTTTTCCACTCTCATTGCTATAATATGAATTAAAGCAGGCACCAATATTTTTCTCACAACTTAACTGCTTCTTAGATTTATTTGGAAGTAAGACTGTTGGTTGTGTTAAGCTACTCTAGTTTTACTACACCATTTTACTTTGTTTTTAAGATGGCAAACTTCACAAGCTTGTAAAAGAGTTCTTTTTAAAATTTAGACAATCATGTGGTGCAGTATTAATTCCATTTGTCTTACCCCCCACCCCCTTCCAAAAACCAGAGTAAAAATGTTCACCACATTCAGCAAACAGCTTTTTTTTCGGGTGCTGACTAGGAAGTACCATTCCAGGCCTTGTATTATCAAGCCTTTTCCAGTCTCATGGTAAATGACATAAACATGGTATTTGGACCCGGTTTTTGTGCTTGCCAAGGACATTTTATTCTACATGTGTGTTAGTACAAAGACTGATGTAGCATCACCTTGCATGGCAAAAGGTTTAATTCAGGAGTATAATGGAAAGTAATGTAAGAAATGTAAAATAGGTTTGTGTGTATATACACAGATAGTTAAAAAGCTGTGTGTGAAAAAACCTGGTTTAACTAAATACAATATAATATAACAGTACTTAGTTATACTTGTTCATATCTATGTCCTGGTATTAATGCATGTGGGCAATCCAAGAAACCTGAATGAAGGAGAGGTATTTCAGGAGCCAGCTCTTGAATAGATCCATTATTAAAATGCAAATAAACAGGGCATTTTAAAAGCATTTCTAGTAGATATATTTCAAGGGCTCCTTTAATCTAAAGAAAAGTAACCATGGGATCTCAGCCATGGGGGGGGCACCTCCCCTCCTTGCACAGATGGAGCAACAGCTCCATTGGGCCATTATGGCCCATGCAATGTGTTTTGGCACAAGGTATAATATGGGCAT